TATTTTTACTATCCACGAAAATGCTTAGATATAAATTGTTGTCAATACTGAAAAAATTTCTCATTGACTCATAATTTCGAACAACATAAGCGGTTATTTTTAGGAAAATACTTTCCGAATCATTCATTTTTCATGAAACAAACGGAGCCTAAAGGATGTTTGTGAAGCCGAACTTGGAGCATTCAACATAAAGAATAATTTACTTGATCAGCTTAATTACTAATGAGTCATGACTATTGACACCCATAAAATGCTGAGATTCTTCTATGTACCTCCATATCTATATAGTCAAAACACATGCACGTTTACATTTATTATATAGATGCACATGTGGGTTAGCACCGAGACGAAACCTTATTGTCTGTATATCGAAATTTAAATCAGGAAGGGACCGGAGCTAACATTATGCAACTTCAACAGCTAGACCCAAAGTGCACGTCAGTCCAGTCAAAGAAGTACCTAATCAACGAGCTAATCTAGTTGATTCCACATGACTTTGTATACTACATAGTATTAATCTATTGGAAATAGCCTATGGAGGAACCATGTGTGTACGTGTAATTAAAGCTATTCATGCATCAGGTGGACTATATGCTATCGACAAGATATGCTTATAAAAAACCTAGCTACGAGCTGCATGTTTCCCACGTACTCAATGCGTCCATCCAAAGCTAACGATTTATTATTTATCTGGAAATGAATTCGTTTTCTTCTCCATGTGAATCTTTCTTTAAGCTAATTACAATAAAGGGGTTTTCCCAGAAGTGGGATCTAGATTCTCCGAACATTCATTGAATCGCAAAGAGACATTGTATTGGTTTTCTTTGTTATTTCATCCTTCCTAGGAGGTATAGATCGATTCCCGTCATCGCTTGTATATGCCAATGTGCTGATCTGAATTTGTACCTTATACATATCAAAACGATAAGATGTGTATATAAAGAAAAGGAAACATTCTACAGTCATGGCAAACGCCAAAATCCATCTTCTCTAGCCACTGTCTCACTCTGCATGATATTGTCGTCGGCCTTGTCGACCATGATGTTATTGCGCCGCGTCGGAATGCCAGAGCTTTTCAAAGAAGACAATAACTCTCGAGGTGAAGAAGTTGAACGACCGCCTCATCCATGGAGCTCGGTAGCGGAGGAGACGGGCAGGCGCCGATGCCTACCCAAAGTTAGGAGGGAGAGAGGGAGGGGCGTGTGTTAGGGTTAGAGTTTTGATTTAGGGTTTTTTGATAAGCAAGGTTAGATGAGTTGTAGGCAAAATATCCAAAAAAATTCAATCTTTTGCACCGATAATAATAGCACAACCTTTTAGATGTTAAAAAAAATAGGCATGATCTTTCATCGATGGAACAAAAATGACACCCGTTACGGATTTCATCTATTCATACTGGTAAATCGCCACATGCCATCGTAAGTGGCTTCTCATACTGACGTGACACACAAAATGATGTCATTTTTTATTTATTTATAATCTTCATTACGAAATTTACTATAACCTAGCTTACCAAATTTCTTGCATTTTGCATACAATAACGACATTTTTTGGTCATGTTTAACATTGTCCAAGAGTGTGATAATTACCGAGACACCTAAGATGACACGTGACCTTTTTATGGTGAGAATGGATGGATCTTGTAACCGGCGTCATTTTTATCCCACGGATGAAAGGTTGCTTCTTCTTTTTTTTTTTTTTCTAATGTGTGAAAGGTTGTGTTTTTCTTTGTTCCAGATTCAAAAGGTTAGCGTTATTTGAGACAAAAGTTACATTATTTTTGTCTTAGGCGCAAAAAGTTGAACATTTTGTGGGAATTCGGCCACGAATTGAGGAGGCGTTTCCACAAAAAAATTGATATTTTTTTTTTTTGTAAATAATTGATTGCAATCATAATTTATATTTAAATAACACAATTCAAGGAGTAACACTGTGGTTTGAAACGTTAAACATGTAAAGTATTATTGAGATAAAAGATGATAGTGGTAATTTGCAATTTTGTATGCTGGCAATCAAGATTTGTTTCTATTTTACTCTTGTCTTACCAAGATTGTTTGGGCCTCTTTTTAGGCTGAGGGGTCATACTATCTTCGGTGTTTTCTAGCTTATCAGGAATATTATTATTTTTAATCATGAATAAGCGCATCAAAACTCCTAAGGCGTGTTGCGATAGTGCATTCGGGTTCTAAGAACTTGTCAAATTTGTGCTATCAAATCCCTCTATTTACTCCGTTCAATTTGACTAATAGCAAATATCGGAATAGTCCTTTTTATTACTTTCTTTCTCATACGTGACCGTTAATGTTAACTAAAGGGTGCAGCAATGACCAAAACGACGCCGTTTTTTCTCGGAAACCTATTTTTTCCCCGAGTCGTAATTAAATAAGATTAAAAAGTAAAACAAAATAACACACGCACGCAGACTCAACGCACCGAGACAGACAATAGAGCGCAGGACAGGGGTTGGGTTTTAAGTGGGGAAGCAGCGTTGCCTACTGAAACCCACCTTGTATCTACCTATTTTTGTTTTGCACAAATAGTTTTGGCTTTTTTTAATCTTTATTTTTTCACCCTTTTCTTTTAATTATTTATCCTTGTGAAAATTTGAAATTTTATTAATCGTCTTTTTATTTTTATCTCTATCCTTCTTCTTTTTCTAAAATTTTCAATATTATTTCAAATGGTGACACCGGGTGGGTGCCAGCTCGGCGTCATGTATCTTCAAACGATATCAAAATGCACGTCACCATATTTCGTTAGCCAAATCAGCTGTAATTTGACTTGCTTTTTCTTTAATTTTTCAAGATTTGGTCATACTTCTTGAAGTTTTTAGAGCTCGATAGCAGTTTCCGAACAAATTTTACAACTTATAAATACACTTTTCTTTATATTTAGATTAATTCTATTTTTTGCAATATGTAGCTAAACCAACGAGTAGCATATATATATTGGGATTTTTAGTGGTTAATCTTGAACTACTTCTAACAAAATTTGAACTCAAAACCAGAAGGAAAAGGCTCCAACTCTCTTACCATCTAAACTAATACTTATTATATGCTCACTCTTACTAAATTTTTCTGCCACATGAGATTTGTTTTTCCCCTACTGCTCAAAATCACGGTGTTGTAACTCTCATGAGACATGCCTTTTTTTTTTTAACTTCAAATTTCGTACTTTTGACATCACAAAAATGTAGGATGATGCTGAATTACCAAACATTCACTACTAAAAACAATAGACTGACCGGGGAAACCGTCTCTAAAAAGCATTCAAAGCCATCTGTGTCGGTCATCAACGGCGGCTAATTTGCCCGTCACTGGCCCTCCCCTCTGTGCATGCCACTAAAGACGACTTTTATTCATAAAATGCTCGTTATAAATGAGATTTGTTTACAAAGTCATGTGCTCAAATCACATTACCAAAATAAAAAGAGCCAAGTGTATGGACGCACTTGTCTCAACATTTACTCTAAGGAAAGTTTCGGGGCATTTCTTCTTAGGATAGGAAACCTTTCAAAGGCTCGAACGAACGTTTGGAAAAAAAAGAAGAGAAGCTTAATTAAGCTACGCTATGCTGAAGAAAGAATAGAGGAATTCTTGACTTTTTTTGTCGTTCATTGGGAAAGAATTTCTTCTTCGGTTCAAGTTCATTTCAAAATACTTCAATCGATACGCACAACAAATAGGCCAATTCAATTGTTTTTGCCTCAATTTCACGCTGCGCCATATTCTCATCAGTATGCATGGGAGAACCACTCCTTGTGTATCATTTTTTTTTTAAACAAATTAAGAGAAAAGTATTAATAGCATTGTTCAAATGGAAAGTAGTTATTGAAGCAAAGAAGCCTCCAATTATATAGTTAGAGATTGTAAAATGATAGTGAGTACACTGCAAAAAGTGGTGGCTATGGCTGTGGTTTTCCTTGATGATCTGTTACTTTTGTGATTAGTCATGTTGAATTGACTACGGAAAAACAAAAAGAACAGAGACGAAATGTCCAAAACGGTCTCTCTACCACTTTGTTAATTGTCTCTCCCACAACAGTAGAACTTGCCCGCCTCCTGTGGTGGTCACTGGCGGAGGGTCGGTCATAATGGTTCGTGGGGGGCAGCCGTCGCGGCGATTATCGATCGGAGACACGTGTCTAAAGAGGGCATCCCGAATCCGTACGAAATCTTCCTCAAATTCCTTTTTTTTCTTTGGGTTTAGCGGGCAATCCAACTCGAGCTAAAAAAAAAAACCACGGGTCGAGTCTAGTGGACCCGAACCGACCCGACCCAACCGGAATATATCTTTGCGATACGCATGAATTTTTTTCATCATCTAACTTCTCTAATTTGTCTATACAGCAATCAAATGTGAAGGGGAGCATACAACTTTGGGGGGGGGGGGGGGGGGGGGGGGCTAGCTTATGAAAAAACTTTGTTTTTTTTTGTGCGCCAAAAGGGGAGGCGATTTCGGTGCAAAAGGCAAAAAAAGGGCAAAGGGAGGCAGGGATGGGGAAATGGGGGGGAGGAGAGGGGAGGGGAGGCGAGCCCTTAACAAATTCAGCCAAATTTTCCGCCAGCCCGGAACTCTCGCGACCTTGTTCCAGACAAAGTTTTCTTACTAAAAGTCACCCCCTTCCCCCCTCTCTCTCCCTCTCTCTCTCTCTCTCTCTCTCTCTGTAATTTTTTATATTTCCCAAAAACTTCAATTTTGTTCGTATCTCTCTCGCTCTCGCCACGCGGGTTGGCAGCTGACACCGCTCGTCTCTCATCTCCTTGTCCCCCTTCCCACCCTCGGCCACCATTATAAACCCAGCAGGGCCATCACCTTCCCCTTCTCTCTCTCTCTCTCTCTCTCTCTCTCTGTCTCTCTCTCTCTGTCTTCTTCTTCTCCGTTGCCGTGAGCTCTGCGTCTTTCGAGAAGGCGTGATGCATGTAGCTCTCTCTCGTTCTTTCTCTCTCTCTCTCTCTCTGAGTGTCGAGGTGCTTCCTTACACCCCGAAAGGGCCTCTGCATGCGGGTTCCGCTTTACAAGGCTTCGTTTGCCCACTGACCCCTTTCTCGACTCCCGCACACGCAAAAGCACCGCCACCCACCACTAGCGGGCTCTCTCTCTCTCTCTCTTTCGCTCTCCTCTCTTCTCTCTCGCTCAGGACCCGAGGATATCTCGTAGTTTAACGCCGACCCTTTTGCGAGAAACCCAGCTCCGTGTGGGAGGGGGGGTGGTTTTCCGTCTCTTCCCCCTTCGCGCTTATCGAAAGTAAGTGAGTGTGTGTGTGTGTGGTTGTGTCATTGCGTTTGATGGAGAGTAACGGCTGAGCTCGAGGGCCATTTTCCGTTCGCGGGCGTTGGACTTTTCTGAGCCAGAGAGCCTTCTTTGTTTGTTTCTTGAGGAAAACGAGCCGAAGCACGCTCGCGTATTGATTGTATCTGTGTGTGCGCGTATGTTTGGTTGAAGGGTTTGTTTCGGTTTACTGAGAGAGAAGGAGAGAGGCGTAGAGATTAGAGAGAGGGTAGGTATAGAATGATGGCTCCGGCAACAAACTGGCTATCGTTTTCTCTGTCTCCGGTGGAGATGCATCCTCAGCTCATCGTCCCTCCTTTCGATTTGACCTCCACTTCCTCCTCCTCTTCTTCTACTTCCTCCTCTCACTACCTCATCGACAACTTTTACGGCACTCACGGTAAATCATCTTTCTTCGCTTCCTCTGCCTAGTTGTTCTGCATGCTCGCTGTTTTCGCCGCCCATGGTTTTTGAATGACTTGCGTTCTTGGCTTTTCTGTTTCTTGAAAACTTGTTTCTGGGCAGGTTGGGATAATCCGAAGCCCCAAATCCTGTTCGCCGATGTCGGAGAGGACGCCGCCGAGCCGAGAGACCGCCGGCAGCAGCCGCCGACGATGGCGGACTCTTCCGTCGTCACGACCTTCCTGGTCGATCCCTACGCCCCGACCCACCACCACCACCACATCACTTCGGCGCCTCCGAAGCTCGAGGACTTCCTCAGAGACTCCTCCACCACCGAGGACTCGTCCCTCACCACCCACATCTACGACCGGAGCTCCTCCCACTACTTCGACGACGGCCACCACCACGATCTCAACGCGATCGCGGGGTTCCAGACGATATCCGCCAACTCGGGCTCCGAAGTCGACGACTCGGGTTCCATGGGTCGGGCGACCCAGGCCCACCTCGCCGAGTTCAACCACCACTCGACCGAGTCGGTGGGGACCGAGCTGGGGTTCGCTGCGGCGGGCGGTGGCGCCCTGTCGCTCGGGGTGGTCGTCGCGGCCTCGCAGCCTCAGTCCACGGAGAAGGCCGTCGCCGGTGCGGTGGCCGGCTCGGATGGCTCGAAGAAGATCACCGACTCCTTCGGTCAGCGAACCTCGATTTACAGAGGAGTCACCAGGTGAAACTGCTTTCGGGTCACAGCGATTAATACGGGACTTATGGGTGTTTGATGAAATGCCTGACAGATGCTTCTCTCGACGAGATTAGTACTAATTAAGACGTGGGTATTGTTTCAAGTGCGATGATTTCTCTGGAAATGCGTAAATTAGACGAAAAACCAACAAAGAAAGTCACATATCGTACTGAGTTCTGCAGATCAAAAAAAAAAAAAATAAATCGTACTGAGTTCTGACTCTTCATTTTTTCGAGCTTTCTGTAAATGAAAGTTAAATTTTTTTGGGGGGGTTCTGGAATCTGAATTGAATCTAATGGGGTGGGGATGATGTGCAGACACCGATGGACGGGTAGATATGAAGCGCATCTCTGGGACAACAGCTGTAGGAGGGAGGGCCAGGCAAGAAAAGGCCGTCAAGGTTCTCTCTCTGTCTCTCTCTCTCCCCCTCTTTACTGATATGTTTTGACTTCATTTATGAGTACATGTCATGGTCACAACTGATTTTTGGTTCCCTCATATGCTTTATCCTAAAAGAGATAAAAAGAAGAGAGAATCCAATTGGATTTCGTTAATGGATACTCGATCTGAACTGCACTATATCATGTGTGGTGGGAGATTTATAGGTTGAATTATCATACATTATATGTGTGTGCTTAATAAATGCTCTCGTTTATCGATTATAACAGCATCATAGTCGTAAGGCGTCCGTAATTGAGTTATGCATTTTGCTAGGAGAGGTAATAGCTTGCATGCACTCAAAACTTCAAAGGGGTGTTAATGAATTGGGGGAATAATTAGAAATTTTCATGGGTCAGGAGGGACCGTGATTCAAGCCCTCAGTGTGATTGATTGACTCCTGTGGTATATACATGGAGATGCAGGTGAATCGGACAGATACATTAGTACAAGAACCCTTTATTTGATTTGAGTTGTCACTGCTTCCTCCTCCTCCTTCCTCTTCCTTTTCATTCACTTCACTGTTTTCAATCAGATGTGCCGCCGTTTTGTGCACGCCTGACATGAATTTATTTCTGGGTTTTCTCTTGTGGGAGGTTTTTTGTATTTGGGATAAATTTGTTTTGGCTTTTGGTTTGCTTGGTGTTTTTACTTTCTCACCTGGGGCCCTAGATTTCAAGCGCGAGGTTAATGTGACATGACTCCAGATTGAACCAGACGTTACAGAAACCAGTTTGTCTGGATATGAGCTCTGATGTCTTCTGAGTCGTGTGTTAAAGCTTTTTCTGCTTTTGCTTTTCCCATCTTTCACATCCATCAGAGCTTTGGGTCTAGGTTTGACCATAGCACTTACTTATTCCAGCGGCATTATTCGATTTCCTTTTGGGGCCCTTGAAATTTCTTTTACAATACAAGAATTTTGGGGTTCTTGATTTTCTTATACTAAACCAGAAGACGACTCTGACAAGAGACGAGCAAAACTGGGAGAAGCTCGACCTCTAAACATATATCCATCCGGTCTAAAATAGACTTTAGCATGCTTTCACTTGAAACATGAACACAAAGACTGACATGTATTCACCGATTTTACATGAATTTGGTTACGACATGGAATAATACCATGACATGACACAACACAAACTTAAAAATTAACACACCATCATAAACTGTTTCATTTTCTGAGATATACTCCATGCTAGTCTTATGCACCTCAAACTTAAAAATTCAAAGCTTCTAAACGACTTTCCAGTTTGCTATGCTAGTCTTTAGGATTTTCGTTGAAAGCAATCAAATTGTGGGCGCACGCTTTTTACCTTGAAATCTCGTGTGTGAACAGGTATTTAGATGACTGTGTTGCTCCTTTTAGCTTTTTAGATTAGACGACAGTCCAAAAAACAGATGAGTAGTTAAACTTTCTTTTGTTTTATTTGTCTTTCCTTTTGCAAGTAGATAAGGATTCTTGCAGAAAAAATTGACTTTTCGGTGAGCTAATGTTTGAAATGCGTTCTTTTTGTGCATGAAACGCGCGGGCTGTTGATCATGTGCTGTCTGGCTGTCTCTCATCTTACACTTATCCTCCATAGTTTATCTGGGTAAGAAACTATTTCCTTCAATATTTGTTTTGAACTTTCAATTTCAACAAAAGGAAAGGGGCTTTAATGGAATTGAGTCCTCTATTCTATGTCAGGTGGCTATGACAAAGAAGACAAAGCAGCTAGGGCCTACGATTTGGCAGCTCTGAAGTACTGGGGTCCCACGGCCACCACCAACTTCCCTGTAATTATATTTATGTATTTCATGTTTGATTGTTTTTCTTTTTCAAGTTTTCTTTTGCATGGAAAGTGATGTCTCTACGTAAAGCAAAGAACATTAGCCTGTGGCGCTTCTTCATGGCTTCGAACTTTTTTTTTGTCTTAGGTTTCAAACTACACTAAGGAATTGGAGGAGATGAAGCATGTGACCAAGCAGGAATTTATCGCCTCACTGAGGAGGTACTGTATATGGCTTTTTACTTCTGTCTGTTCACTTGCTGGTTTTTATGTGGAACGATTGCGGTTGAATTGAGTGGAGGCTCTCTTCTGAGACGAATATTTTTGCAGGAAAAGCAGTGGGTTCTCGAGGGGTGCTTCTATCTACCGAGGCGTGACAAGGTTCGGACAATTATCTTGACTCCGTTTTGAGTTCTTTTATTATTTCACTTTAGGTGAGAGATTTTTTCTCGTCTCTGCTTCTAAAGTCGGCTCGGTGTCATTTTTTCTTCTCGTTATAGGCACCATCAGCAGGGTCGTTGGCAAGCAAGGATTGGTCGTGTTGCTGGCAACAAAGACTTGTACCTGGGCACATTTGGTGAGTATGCTATTTACTCCTTATCTACCATTTCAACTGTTAGCACTGTGCTTCAATGTGGTACTCCGGATTGAGCAACTTAATTCATCCTTTTCAAAAATATTTATTTGGCGGTCTGGTTCACTGTGTTATCTATGTTGAATAAAATTAGACTGGAGCCAGTGACTCATCTTTGACAATGTTAAAATGGAAAGAATTCGAAGTTATGGAAGTTTTGAATTTGGTGAATTTATTTATGTCCGTGTTGCCCTACTGGGGCTAAGATCTGAATTAATGATCTTGTTTAGGGGGTGTGAGAACAATTTATTGGAACACATGGTTGGCTGGTGTCATATCTCCATCCTGGAACTGCGTCACTATAGTTCACCTTTCACTTTGTATTTCATCTTTTTGCCTCGAGGAGTACTAAGGATCAAACCAAACACTGACCATGTAAATGATTTTGTTCAGCTACGGAAGAGGAAGCTGCTGAGGCATATGATATAGCTGCCATAAAGTTCAGAGGCCTCAATGCAGTCACCAACTTTGAGATGAGCCGCTACGACGTGGAGGCTATTGCTAGTAGCACACTTCCAATCGGCGGAGCGGCCAAGCGCTTGAAGCTCAACCTCGAAGCAGATCAGAAACCGTGTCTCGACATCATTCAGCAACCGCCGCACCGAAATGGAGGAGGCAACATCAGTTTCTCTGCCATTCAGCCGTTTCCCACAATTCCATGCGGTATTCCGTTCGATGCCTCAACCGCTCTTTACAACCCGAACTTCTTCCACCACCTGCAGCCTAACATCGGTAACAGCGCCGCTGCCAATTCCCCTAGCTCCGCCTCCACCATCCCTACTCCGGCGGCGACTGCAATACCTCAAACAGCTGACTTCTTCATTTGGCCCCACCAATCTTACTAGGCATGACCAGCTTTAGATATGTAATAATCTGCTAACTATAGCAAAAAACCCTTGTTTTATTTTTTATTTTTCTCTTCGCGGCATCCTTAAAAAAGCTGACCTAAAATTTGATGACTTTCTCACCCTAACCTCTCTCCTGGCCTTGGCGGTGTTTAGGCAGGAGAAAATTTTGTTAAATCAAAGGGTATATGATATAGCAGCTTTCCGATGGATAGTGTTTTTTTAGCTCTGTTTTTATTTAAAGACGAGATGTATGAAGGACAGGATCATATGCTGTAATCTTTTTCGCCGGAGATCTTTCGGTTTCTCATTACCCACCTCTGGATTGTATGATGATCTCCTCTAGCAAACCTGCTTCGTCGTTCATCAATCTGTGTGTTTTGGGGCCTAGCACTAGTCGTGTTTTTCGCGACAGGTAGTTTCACATTAGGCAAAAATGTACTGAGTTGCAATAAGGGATCATACGGTGGTGGGACTTTTGCTTGAAATCATGGTACTTGTATAATCATTGGGATCAAAGAGACGTGTGCGGTAATGCACCAAAGCATAAGCTTTTTATGACGTGCACATGGCGATACGTAAGTGGGGGAAAAACAACGACAGAAAACTAATGCACTCAAGAAACTGTAGATGAGTGGGGAAAAACCTCGAGAGTGGTACGAATCGACAGAATCGTCAGATTCTGTCTTTCCATCAAGGATCGTTTCCGACCATGGCCTGATCAAATAAGTTATGAGCCCTTCAAAACATGAGTAACCCAACTTAACCCACTTCTGATCCACTTTGTTAAAATGTGGCTTTTTTCTTTTTGGAATTTCAGAAATCATTGTGTTAGCCTTCATGCTCACTTGCTCACAAGGATCTAGAGAAACTCCAAATTTGTATCGCTATTGCGAAAATGAGATATAATAAAAGGGTGGAGATTCCATTATATATAAATACAGGATCAATCGTATCCGTAGATTTCTCATCGATCTAATGGTGAATATCGCATCTCCTCATCTACCAACTACCCGTATTTATTTCCGAAGTGTACAATTATAATATTGCTTGCCCATAGGAGTATTCTAGAATATACAAGAAAACGCTAGGACTTAGGATCCTCGAGATCCGTGCGCTCATTCATGGATCAGTTATGGTCTATTGTTCAGAAACTCTTGAGAGTGACCAAATTCTTTGGACCGTGACATTTACTCCCACCTAATTGGGCAACGCCCTCGTCACATTTTCGACATGAAATGCATCGATTGCTGCTTGAACTGCCAAAGAGCTTCTTCGGGCTCCCAATTGGCTTCACTATCCGGAAGGCCCTTCCATTGGATCAAATACTCTCACTTCGGCGCATGATATCGCTTCTATATGACTCGATCCGCCATGATGAAGTCGACGTCTCAATCGTATGACCCTAAAGGTGGAGGTGGCAATACGGGCCAAGAACCAATATTTGAGCTCAAATAAGCTGTGAGCCCTTAAAACATGGGTAAACCAACTTAATACACTTCCGATCCACTTAGTTAAAATGTGGGTTTTTATTTATTTATTTGTTTATGGAATTTCAGAAACCATCACCCATCACTACTCGCGCCGTCGCCAAAACCTTCGCCGCCGGCAACGTTGCCGTCTTTGCCGTCTCACAAGGGTTGTTTGCGCGATGTACTCCATGGCTTTGGGAGTGTCGTCCACGACCAGGCGCGCTGCGCGGAGAGGTCAAGAGCAGCTCTTTTGACCGGTGCCATCCATGGGAGTCAGCTCACCCTGTCCGTTTGTAGGAGGGCGAGGTTGACGGCGGCGTTGTGGTCATTAATTCACGGGCTCAACACTTGCAAGTCCAGTTCCATGCACGCATGCATATGCCAGAGAGAGAACCATCGGCTGCGTAGTCAATGGTAGCGACTCCACCTACCTCGGCGACGTTGCCTGTGGTTGCCACAAGGGCCACCACGGCGACGTCGCCGGTGGTGACCGGTGAGGAGAGTTGCCTTGTTGCCCCTATGTTTTTTCCTTTTTTCTCTTGATTTGCTTTTTTTTGTTATTGCGAAATTATGCGCCACATCCTGAGTATGTGCCAGAGCTTACACTTTTGAGATTAAATGAGTACTTAATAGATGAAGAGCAACCTATTCGCATCGTCAATGTCGCCCTCCGAACTCAACAAAAACAGGTTAATGATACATCCGTTCTTTCACCAAAGTACCTAACCTCAAACATAACCAAAACTCAACATGATATCGAAATATATACATATATGTATTTGATAAAAAGTCATCTCGTTATAATATCAAAGTTTCTTGGGAAAATTCTAAAAAGGGACCCGAAGTGGACTCATTTTTTTAAATAAGGGTTTGAAGTGAATATTGTCTCAAATAAGGGCTTGAAGTGGTCAAATCGTCTCAAATAAGGGTCTGAAGTGGCCAAATCGTCTAAAAAAAGGATCCTTGGCCGGCCGGTGACTATTCCGTCGCTAGAGAAGGGGTATTTTGGTCAAAAACATTGTTAGTATATTTTTTTGTTTTTTTTACATTCTTTTTCTTTTTCTTTTTTTCTTATTCCCTCCTAGCCTTCACGTGCTTGGCCGGTGACCTCCGCCCGCCTCGGGCTAGGTCTCGACCTATATTATCGGTGGCTTGGCCCAAGATATCCTAAACTAGTATGCGTACACCCACAAATCCTCAATTGAGTTCATAGCGATATTGAGCACTCAATCGTTATCCTCCAAAATCCACAAACCAAATCCATAATCGATATCTCAAATCAATTTACAAAACAAAGCATACAATCTTTTGCAGCTCAACTCATTCACCGTAATACCTTTTGCAATTCATTTTATAAACATTTCTTAACCATTTCAAGTGACAAAAATAGTAATAAATAATGGAAAAGAAAAAAAGAAAAAAATTTAAAAAAGTAAAAGACAAAAATATCCTTTAGTCGGTGAGGTCATGTCCTTATTTGAGACTCGATATGGCCACTTCAGCCCTTATTTGAGAAAATGATGGCATTCCGTCCCTTATTTGGGACAAGATCCACTTCTAGCCTCCTTATTTGAGAAAATGACTCTACTTCGGCCCTTTTTTTGAAATTTTCTCAAGTTTCTTATAATCCACCAAAAAGATATATAAACATATCCAACAAACAACTAACTCAGGATTTCATCACATCTACTTACAACTCATACCCACTGTCATACTCCTCATGCGATAACAATTAATTGAAAAATGATATAAAAAATTGAGTAAAACAATATTTTAATGAACAACTTGACTAACTATGCTTCTTTGTCGATAAAACGACACCTACGTACTCAATGAAAAGAATAAGCAACTACGGCTAAGCGAGTAATATATCTCTTTTAAGCGGATCGAACAATCACGATGCATATTTAAAACACAAACATAACTCATTTACACAAAGTCCGGAATATAACAAACCTTCAAGACCAAAATAAGTTATATATTACTTCAACATAACGTTAATGGTCTATTTCATTGACCAAGCTCATGCTCTATATATCTAACCATGATCACGCATAATGCCCCGGGACAAGGCGACCAAAATTCACCCCTCGGCTAGGTCTCCAACTATTGACGATGGCTTGGCCCAAGATATCCTAAATTAGCATGCGTACACCCACAAATCCTCAATTGGGTTCATAGCGATATTGAGCACCCAAACGTCATCCTCCAAAATCCACAAACCAAATCCATAATCGATATCTCAAATCGATTTGCAAAACAAAGCATTCAATCTTTCGCAGCTCAACTCATTCACCAGTACCTTTCGTTTTGCAATTCATTTCATAAACATTTCTTAAATCATTTCAAATGACAAAAATAGTAGTAAATGCTTGATCCGAAATTATGCATCAAATATGTTATAAATGTTTTTTTTTATGACCAGGAACCCCGCACGGCCGAGAACTAGGATTTTGGGCTTGGCTAACAAAATATGGGTTGAATAAAAACAATATTCTAATGAACGACTCGACTAAGTACACCTATTCGTATTCGTCGATAAAACAATACCTTCCTTTTTCAAAGAAATATGAAACATGTAATGCATCTTATATGTTTCTATCAATTCAAGATATGAGTTTCACAAAATCAAAGAAGAGATAAGTACCACTCACCTAGGAAAGCCGAATACCAACCTATAGTGATTACTCAAACCGACGTACTTGAATTCTTAACAATTAATTGAAAAGTGATATAAAAAACTGAGTAAAACAATATTTTAATGAACGACTTGACTAACAATGCTTTTTGTCAATAAAACAATACCTATGCACCAACGAAAAAGCTCGCCCATAGTGGATATGTGTAGCTCACAACATCCTAAACTATAATTTTTATCTATATGTACGAAGTCCAACAACTCCTCAATTGAACCTTACAAATCAAAATCGGCCTAACCTTGAATTCTTGATCTAACTTTAAATATTACTTTGATTAAACGAATAGAGGTTACCGTTGGCTACCATTAAGCATGCGCGGTTAACTACGAAAATTGTTTCGGGTAAACCATAAGCTTAAATCGAGTTCCGTAAAATGTTATACCTTCACAACACCATAAACTATCATTTTTATAAATATACGTAGCCTTGACATCTTCTCAATCAAACATCGATGACTCAAAATTGATATAACTTCGAATTTCTTGACGATCTAATTTCGAATATTACTTCGATTAGATAGATAGAGGCTTCGATTACTTATCCGGCGTTGCAATTTGAAGTTCAATCGGCTTCGTATTGAGAATGTGCAAAGATTTTTCCCCTTTTCTTTCGTTTTCTCTCTTTTCTTTCTTAACGGACGGACCCTTCTTTCTTTTCTTGTTTTTGTCGCTTTGGACTTCTTCTTTTCTCACTTTCACGATGAGTTGGAGGAGAAGGAAAAATGGGCTGGGTTGAGGGCTTGACTTTGGGCTTGACTAACAAAATATGGGTTGGATTAAAATAATTTTCTATCGAATGACTCGACTAACTACGCCTATTCGTCGATAAAACACACCTTTATGCCAACAAAAAGGTCATCCATTGTTGTCTGCTATATGCAGCTCGCATCATAACTTTCCCTATCAAACTCCATTTCAAGCAAACTTACAGTCAATAGAAATCCATTCAACGTACTACAAGACCCCCATCTTGGCCAACGCACAATTTAGCTAGAAACATATGAAATTTAGCCCTGAAAGTTACTGTTTGCTACTGTTCAACATGCACGATTAGCTACAAAAATTCATTCCATGCAAATCATAAGCTCAAATCAAGTTTCGTAAAGTGCTGTAACTCTAATACACCATAAACTATCATTTCTACGTATACATGCAGCTCGACAACTCCTCAATCAAACCTTGCAGCTCAAAATTGACGGAACCTCGAATTTCTGATCTAACTTTAAATATTACTTTGATTAAACGAATAGAGGTTTCGATTACTTACCCGACGTTATGATTCGGAGTTCAATCGGCTTTAAATCGAAAACGCGCGAAGATTTTTCCCTTTTTCGTTTTCTCTCTTTTCGTTTTGCACAGATGAACCCTTCTTTTTCTTCTTGTTTTTGTCTCCATCGACTTCTTTTTCTTTTTTTTTTCACTTGCACGATGGGTTGAAGGAGAAGGAAAAATAGGCTGGAATTAGGGCTTGGACATTGGTTCCAATCCAATAGTAGATAGAACTTATTAGATACCAAGTCATGGTATCTAAATAGTTACCCGGTGTTGCCATTCAGAGTTGAATTGGCTTCGGATCGAGAAATCGTGAAGATTTTTCCCTTTTTCATTTGTTTTCTCTCTTTTCTTTCTTCATGAACGAACCCTTCTTTTTTTTTTTCTTTTCGTCGCCCTCGACTTCTTCTTTTGTCACTTGCACGTTCAGTTGAAGGAGAATGAAAAATGAGCTGGGCTGAGGGCTTGGACTTTGGGCTTGGTTAACAAAATATGGGTAAATTAATGGGCTATACATTACAATCAATAGAAAGGATTGAATGTTGTGGCATCGAGCTATTCCTTATGTGAAAATGCAATAGCAAAATAACATTGGAAGAGAGGCCACTTGAAGTTGAGATAAGTTCAAATTTTGAGGACAGAGTTTAATTTTTTAAAAAAGGTAGACTGTAATGAAAGAGGCTTTGTTCGAAGGAAAAATAATTAGGCCCAAGAGATCTCAACTCATCTTCTTATTTCCTTTTTCATATGGTTGCAAAAGATAGAAAAGACAAGAAGAAAAGAAGAAAGGAGTAAGAAAATAGAGATATCAAAAGAACCGAACAAAAAGGGATAAGTGCATTAGAAGTCCTAAAATTTGTCACGAAAGTATAATTGAGTCCTGAAACTTGTCAGATTGGTCCAATCAAGTTCTTTCATTGATTACACTTTTTGAAAGTTTTAGGACTTAATTGCATTTTCATAACAAATATTAGGACTTCTAATGTACTTATCCCATAAAAAAATTGAGGGTGGGTCGTTATCTTTCCTTTTAGAAGTTAGTTTTGTTCTTATAAGAGTTTAGAAGTTAGTTTTGTTCTTATGAGAGAGAGAGAGAGAGAGAGAGAGAGAGAGAGAGAGAGAGAGAGAGAGAGAGAGAGAGAGAGAGATGAGGAATTGAGGGTGGGTCGTTGAAAACATTGGTTGACTTGGAAGAACGATATTTACTGTGATTGGTAAGAATTTTTTGCTATCTTTCCTTTTTAGAAGTTGGTTTTGTTCTTATAGTACAAATTTGGAGCCCTGATTGTCTCAACACTGCCGTTGACACTATTGCCGAGTCCGAGTTGTACATTAGTGATAATCAGGTTGCTCCCATTCCTATGAACTCATAGGATATTATGGATTGGAATTTGGACTTCTCATTCAAGAGATATTATTTTTCGAAGTTCTTGGTAATTGTCATACGTGACTGTGGCCAGCAGCGTTCCGTGCCGAGCTTTGTCAATTGTCGGCAATGCCCACGAGGGATTTTTTGAGAGTTGGATATTAGATATAATTCGAGATAGTTTGATATATGTTTGAAATGGTATATATAAATGGACTTTAGAACTCTAAAATCTGTAATCGGCTTGCTGTTTTACAGAATTATAAAATTGTAATATATTTTGATAAAAGGTAAATATTGATTTGGTGCTTGAGGTTGCGTCCGTTGGATACGAGGACCTATTATATACGACATCCGACTTCATGTCCAGGGCTTTTCTTATTTATAATTAAATCAATTTATGGATTTAGTATTTTTGTATAAGTGTCGAAATTTCATCGGGATTGTCATGGCGTGGCAATAGTAGTGGAACAGTCATGGTGAAAAAAGGGAAAGAAATTCTGCCTAAGAATGTTCAATTTTATGGACCCAATGTGGGATTTTCATATGCAAGCAACAAGTTAATGACTACAATGGACCCGATCCATGTGAACTCCAGTCCGGTGCCCGGGTTCAGACAAGAATTCATTCGCGAAAAAGTTGTCGGTACGATGTGTAGTTCTCGCTCTAACTTGATTATGCTCGAATCCGGGTCGAAAAACGGCGTCACCCTAATGATTTTTGGTGTAATAATTGCATCTATAATGTGAAAAAACAAGCAAATTTTGCCGTTAATATTTACCCAGTTGGCAAATCTTCTTCTTCGGGCTCTCAAATTGGCCGATTACAAAAGCTTTTCGGCCACTAAAAACTCTTGAACTTTGCCATTCAGATTACAAGAAAAGAAAGAAAGACAAGAAAAAACGAAAAAATAAAAATAAAAAATAAATCAAGAAGAGCCTAACCGGTCCAACCCGTGACGGGCCGGATCGCACCCGGGCTCGATCCTCAGCGCCTCCTCGAACGCCCTCCTCGCCTCCTCCCTCAGCCCCTTCCGCTCGCAGCACTCCCCCAGCACCCGCCACGCCGGCGCCTCCCCCGGCGCCGCCCTCACCGCCTCCCTCGCGTCCTCCGCCGCCGACTCCGCCCTCCTCCTCCTCCTCCTCCCCCTCCCCGCCGCCGCCGCCGCCCCCACCCCCATCCCCAGCTTCAGCTCCGCCCTCCTCGCCAGCGCCTCCGCCCGCTCCCTCCCCGACAGCGACCTCGCCCGCGGCGCCGACAGCGCCAGGTCCAGCGACCTCAGCGCCGAGCTCCGGCGGCCGAGCGAGTCCAGGGCCAGGGCCTTGAGCACGTGCGGGGCCGCGTCCTTCGGGGACTGCGAGATCGCGGCCTCGGCCTCGGCGAGGGCGGCCCTGGCGAGGGTCGGGGCCTGGGCGCGGTGGCTGTGGTGGGTCGGCGAGGACCGGGCCCGGACGAGGAGGCTGGACGCCCGGAGGAAGTGGCGGTTCGACTGGGCGGCGGCGGCGGCGGATCGGGTCTTGGTCCGGAGCGTGGTGGAGGGTCGGGCGGAGAGTCGCCGGACGGCGAACAACAGCATGGCGAGGGACAGGACGAGGATGACGAACTGGACGAGAACTTCAGTGGGCATCGCTGCTTCGCCTTCTTGCGAAACTTCTTGGGGAAGAAATTCGGACCATTCAATCTGAAGCAGTGGAGGGTCTTGTTCTGGCGATCCAATCTGAGGTCGAAGATGCGTATGTCTCCATGCGCGCTTGCTGCGAAGTTTCTTGAGACCGTTGACTGTGCAAGCCCAAGGAAGCTAAAACAGAAGAAGGAAAGCAGACATCGATCAACGAGAAGCCCGAAGAACTGAATTTTGTTGTGCCCGGTTCGGTGTTTTAAGGCCCATATATGAGGCCCTTTTGTAAGGCCCATATGCATCAATGGAAGTGCATCGATGTGGCATAGGGGTGAGCAACTTGGACCGCCCAAATTGGGATCGGACCGGATCGACAGGTTTGGTCCGGTTCTCGGGATTATCGGTCCGGTTCCCGGTTCCTAAAAGCGGAACCGGTTTCGAACCGGTTCCGGTTCCAAGGGAACCGGACCGGACCGACTGACCGACTATTTAATATATATTTTTGTTATTTTTTTCTTTAAAAAAATTAATAAAATGTGAATTAAACTCTAAGTGAACTTCATTATTATAAATTCATTGATGAAAATTAGTAAAATGTGAATTAAATCCTAAATGAATTTCATTGACATAAATTCATTGATAAAAATTAGTAAAATGTGAACCAAACCTTAAGTGTTTGACAAAAAAAAAAATCCCAAACTCTAAGTAACCGATTCCATTGGACCGGACCGGACCGACGGTCCGATCCGGTCCCCGGTCCTAGAACCAATCGGTCTGGTCCGAGGTTCCCAAAATTGGGAACCGGTTCTCTCGGTCCGGTTCCCGGTTCCACCTTGGAACCGGACCGGACCGGGAACCGCTCACCCCTATGGCATATGATAGGCTTACGAATGGTCCAGTCCGATTCCAAGGTCGGAACCTCAGACATTGAAAGATATAAGCGTTAGGAATAATTTGGATAGGCTTGGATCGAAGGAGGTGTTCTCCCTATAGCGGTTCTACAGCATGCCTCTACAATCCAGGTTATGAATTCGATTGTGAATTCGAATTGGTATTTCTCAACTGATCTCAGGCATTGGAATCCATTTAAAACGGACCGGAGGAGATCTGATTAGTTTACCGTATTTGGACAGGCAACAGAGGATGATAGGCTGTTTGAGAAATTGCCTCTACGGAGCTAGAGATTTGACGTTTTGAAATGGCAGATGATAGAATGAACGACTGCTCGTGAGATTTGAATTTCAAATAGTTACTTGGGATCTCATAGCTACAAATTTAACACGAGGAAATTGATAGAATTGGGGGAAACGGATAAAAGCTAGTCTATGCTCTAAGTGTGCATCTCCTTCTTATTCTTGTTTGTAGAAGCTGTGCAAATCGAATTGGTATTTCTGTGTAGAAGTCTAAGCGTTCGTAACTAGAGAAGAGAGTATTAAGTGTATATGATTGCTTGTAACTTTATACGCACGACCACAAGGAGAAGGAACCATTTTCAGGCGTTGCAACATTTCAAGGATTACAGCCTTGATTTGGACTGTTAGAGCTGGGAGAGCAGAGTAGGCCAACTGGATAGGCTGCTGAACCACTGTGAGTAGGTTCTGCACTTCTTCCATTCTACAAACTCCTTTGTATTCTGCTGATAGAAAATAATTGTTTCTACATACACACGATTTTTTCTACAGCACCAATGCACGTTGTACGGGGCCGTCCAGCAATTTATGCAGAAAAAGAAGACGTTTCAAGTTTTCCTTAGACAACTGATTCACCCTCCTCTTGGTTGTTTTTGTCTAACCCATTTATCAAGGTCAAGAACCCATGCTTCCATGCCGCGTCAGGGACAAAAATCATGGAGTTGGGGCCATGGATTTAGCTTCGTGACTGCAACTAGCCATGCTTTGCATCAACCGAAAGGGGATGATATTTTGACCAAAAAGAAAAGAAAAAGGGAAGGGTTGATAATACAGAATACATATACAAACACATCACACATCAATAGCATTGTGATCTCTCTCTGTCCCTCTCTCTCCATTGATACATCACATTTCCAGCTACCTTAAATACTACTAGTCATATTACTAAGTAAGAAGGAGCAGCTGGCGGAATCTCCTTTGACCTGACCATAAAATGCAGATCATTGCATAGTTCCTCTTGAGAATTTGTCCCCTTTAGACAAGAGACCATCACGGGCAGGAGCGCCGGCAGCGACACGAGCATGTCACTCCAATACGAGCTGCATGTGGCGATTTAGGTCGTCAAGGTAGGTCGAGCAACTGTAGTCCTCTGCATCACAAGCGTTGAGGAGGAGCGTCCTACTCGAAACTGACTTCTGTTTCCACTCCACAGTTCCATCCTCGCCCCTCAGAATCTTCACAACCTGCAAAGATAAAGATCATAGGAGTTGCATCAACGCACACAGTCCACCTCAAAATTCACATTGTAGCTAAGCGATAGGCGGTCACCGCTTGAAGTGATACTGTAAGATTGTCTACTAACAAAACAAACTTGTCATGAAGATGTCCAACTATGAATGCCACAAAATGAGAGTTCTTAATTGAGAATTAAGTTCGTCAGATTTCACAGGACCAGTGATGGCGAAGGAAAAGATGGAGCAGGACAATACCTGTTTCATGTTCGGTCGCATCGTGGACAGATGATGGATGCACATCGAAGCAGTTAATGACGCCCTCTTCATTTCAACTTCGTCATATGCTTCTCCTAGTTGAGGATCGACCAGGTCTTTCACGTTATTTGCATCCAATAGTGGCTTTGCCTGCAAAATCAATCAGAAAATATAGATTATCAATAGAGACCTCACTGAGCCCTTCTATTTGCCTCCTAATCCCTTAAGATGAAATGATCGTGTAGAGCATTGTTTTGTAAATTTACATAACATGTCAGCCGCAGTATGACAGGAGATAATGATTATTGCAACTAAAGACAATTCAAACAAATTGAACTCAAATCAGATTAGGAGGTAAAAGATCAGGATCTATTTGAATATTTAGTTTGCAACATCACAAATCAGGAGTTCTTGAGAGAGGATAGGACTAATCCGTACCCACATCACGAGGCTTCGTCGGCACGAATCAACAGCACGGCGACCTGTCATGAGCTCGAGCAACAAAACCCCAAAGGCGAAGACGTCGGTCTTTTCATCGACAATTCCGTGCATAAAGTATTCGGGAGCGAGGTACCTGAAAGACAAATGATCGTATGAGATTATCAGTATCAGAACAAGTAGTTCCGAACAAGGGCTTTTTGAGTACTAACCCAATTGTGCCTTCAATAGGAAAGATGACGTGATGAACCCATTTCTCCGGAAGCCACTTCGCCAACCCGAAATCAGAAATCTGCAGATGATGGGATCGACGTTTAAATATCCAGCTTATTCAAATAATGGGCGGATTAGAGGAGAATGACCACGCCAGATTTACCTGAGGCTCGTAATCTTCGTTTAGTAATATGTTAGAGGCTTTGATGTCTCGGTGAATGATGCGCCTCGGGCAATGATGGTGGAGATACTGCAATCCTTCTGCAACACCAACCGCCACCTTGAACCTGGTCGTCCAATCCACGATCCCCGTCGAACCTGCAAAAATGATCATCCAAAACTGAGTCACAATTTAACGAAAATGTATCAACCTCTGCAAATAAAACACACTGAACCACCTAACATGAAGGTAGATTAGAATAGAGGATTTCAACATCACCATGCAGAAGTGAAGCGAGGCTCCCATTTGGAGAGAATCGGAGGACAAAGTACAATCCACCCTCGATGCCGAACCCGAGCAGCCGCGCCGCGTTCGGATGATCAACGTGCGCTACAATACCGAGTTCTGATAGGAAGTCGCCGATCCTATCCACTTCCTCCTTCTCTTTTTTCCCCAGCCTCTTCACGGCCACCGTTTGGCCATCCGAGAGGCGACCTCTGTACACCTCCGCATGTCCGCCTTTCCCGATCAAGTTCTCTATAAACTCGCCATGAAAAGTAGCATGATTATTCAGTCAGGCAGGGGAACAATACAGGCAATACAGGCAGCACAGGAGAACAAGTTTTCGAGCTCAAAATCCTAGTCTGTTTGTCGACCATCGAGGCGCACGAGTGACGATCTCAAGTTCCGTAAAGGAATCTGCGCTACATATTCATCGTACTCCCGTTTTGCAATGGCCCTCGATACATTTGTAAAGCAGACAATATGTCGCGAGTTCGAATTCCATCGTCGAACTACTCGTGACGAGTCTAATCTTTTCGACATCCTAACGCTCACATTACGCATTTCGCCGTGCGAAATTCGGCTCACAGTAGCGTGAAATGCGAAGAAACAGGAGCATCCCAGTACAGATATTTCCAGGTCCGGTTGAACTGGTAGTTTGCAAAACTATGCACAGGCATGGTCGGGTCGACAAACAAATCTCGGGATTAAGCAAAAAGCAGGAACTTTTTCTTTTGGCCTACTTGCCTACTTGTCGTTAGCAGACTTTCCTTCGCCTGAATCGCTGCTGCTCTCTTTTCCTTGGGTTTTGCGCGCAGTCCTCTTGCAAATGTCAAAGTCAAAGTCAAACTGATGCCCTCTGGTCTGTTTTATTAGTTATCGGTCACGCTCACAAAGCAATTTTCTTTTTCCACCGATTTAATTAATTATTGCAACTAGATTTGTTAAGCCATCAAATAGAAAGTATTTACTATTTACGATACATTATTTCTTAAGATAACTAATGATTTGAAAATCGAAGCATTCATTATCGCCTCCACCTTCAATTTGAGACATCATTTGGAATTTCCCCAAATTCACAAAGTGTAACGTGATTGATGGGATTTTAAAACGGGAGTCAACCTAGGTTTCTCGAATTAACCATGTCGGGGGATCTTTTATTTACCTTTTTAGACCCCCCCGCCCACGTGGCACCTTTCTAGCATTATATCCGTACCTTGCTTAGAGCACGCTCCTAGGGAAAAGAATAATCATGATTCGAAGCATGCCCTTGTGACAAAGGAAAAGCAAAGAACAATCATATGTTCAAGCAAGGAGGCCGGGGTTTGCTCCGCAATTTGCGGCGGCCAACACATTTGCATTTGCATTTGCATTTGCATTTTTTAAAAAAGAAGAAGAAACTAAATCAGTCAATTGCAAGTGGTTTTTCTTATGAAAATTAGGTTAATACCACGAAAAATCCCAAATTGATACACATGTGATAAATTTATCCAAATTAATTTTTTTGACCATAAAAAATTCCAAGCTAGTACACCTTGACAAATTCACCCTTAGATATTTTTAGTTTAATTTGATTAATACCATGAAAAATCCCAAACATGTACATCTATGAAAAAATGAAGAAAAAAATCTCAAACCGGTATACCTGTCAACTGCTACGTGTCATCCAATTCAGCAAATTGACAGTAAAATTTAACGGAAACTAAATGAGGGTAAATTTATCACATGTACATCAATTTAGGGTTTTTCGTGGTATTAGCTCTTGAAAATTTGATTGTTTTTTTAGTAAATAAAAATTATATATATATATATATCAATTTAAAACCCAGCTAAATTAAAAAAACGGGGGTTGGTTCAGACAAGCATTTACCGGGGCTAAAATCGTCAGTGGCGGCTGCGAGTTCCGAATAGTCGAAGTTCCTCCACGACGGCTTCCGCGTCCGCGGCACGCCGATGACGCCGCCGCCGCCGTCGGCTCCGGCTCCGCCCTCGTCGTCGGCGCTCCGGATCCTCGCCAACCTCTTCGCCTCCCGCTTCGAGACGCCGCCGCCGCCGCCGCGCCCTCCCGCTAGAGGCGGCGGCGACGACGACCTCGTGGATTTCATCTTCCTCAACGCGTCCATCACCTTCTTCCAATTGGACGACGACGACAACGACGACGACGACCCACGATTCCGGCTCTCTCGCGGGGACCAGCTGCAAGTGCTGCTGCCGCTGTGGTCGGACTCCGAACCCGCGATGGGGATCTCCAGCACTCCTCTCGGCGACGAGGATGCTTGGCCTCCGCCTCCTCCTCCACCTCCTCCTTCTCCTCCCGCGTCGTCTTCTTTCCTCGCGTCGCTTCCTTGGGTTCCTCCTGTTCCTACGATGCCGAGAAATAAGTAAAAATCGGAGCGTCAGTTCAGTCCAGCACTCTAGTCTCGCCGCCGCGAGAGAAAACAGAGCATGTGAAATGGGTGGGCGTCTCTCGTGTTTCAACCCATTTTAACCCCGCGGCGAGAACGCGAACAGTCTAGCTTGAGGAAGGTGGAGAGACCCCCGCACACAGTCCCCCCCAAAAACAGGAAAAGGAAATCGGAACGACCACTTGCTGAAATCAAAGAAAAAGAGGCCCCCCCCCACAACAAAGCCTTCCCGAAACAAAAAAACAAACATCGGCCCTTTTTTAATGCTGTCCTAAAGATCGAAACTTTAATCATATTCATCGAAGTTTTACCTCCCTCGTGCGTCATGTCGCTTTGCTGGACGACGGCCATAGATGGGAAAAGGCTTCTCGAACGGGACAGGATGGTACAGGCGGGACTGAGAAGCCTTAAAGGACGGAGCTTTCTTCAACTTTCCTTCAACAGAAGTTCTGCAGATACAGAGGGAGAGGAAGAGAGAGAGAGAGACATGGAATACGGGCTCTGTTTACGCACAACACAACCTCGGCTGGGCCGGCTTCTCTCGCTCTGCGCTTTTGTATTTATTTTGGTTCCATGGATGGGGGGGATTCTCTCTGCTTACTTTGACAGAGGTTACTGCATGACCATATTGCACGATTAGTATAGTCTGGACCGTCGATTAAATTATGTTAGCTTCGTCGCGGGCCAGAATGATCAACGGTCCGGATGAATTTGGCCAGTATATGATCAAATAGACCTTAACAATCCGTTCGATTTTTCTAATACCCTGAAAAATCATGTAAGCTAATTTTAACTTCATTCTTAAATAAGGTCATTCAATTTAAAATAAGACACTAGAAACTATGACAGGAATAATGACACGATTTAAAGTATGCCAACGGTGATTTTTTTTACTTTTGCCCGAAAGTAAAAATTGCACCTCTATTTTTTGGTTCAAAAGCATTTCTATACTTTTTAAAATGTTCCACATCATTCCTTTTGCTAATTTTTGCTTTTGTCAATTAATTTTTATTGGCATGGATTGTCGAATTACTGATATGAATGTTGAAGTACACGTGTAATGTTATGATTCGCTTACAAAACTATTATGCCAGACTAAATAAACACTTAAACATAATTAATTGAGAGAGAGAACCAGCCCATGAAGAAACAGTATTGTTCCAATGGCCGCTCGAGTTCGAGGCTTGCGACTGCTGCCATGGCAGCTCAAGCTCGAAGCTTGTGGTTGCCATGGCCGTTTCAGCTCGAAGCTTGTAGCTGCCACAACCAAATTTGGCTTTGAAGCTCGCGGCCATGGCCATTGGCCGTTTGAGCTTGAAAGTTGCAACCGAAGCTCATGATTGCCATGACCACTCGAGCTTACGCTTGAAACTCGTGGCCCCCTTGGCTTCTCAAGTTGGAAGGTCGCTAACACTTCTCGAGCTCAAAGCTCGTGATCATGGATGAGCTCGAGCTGCCATGGCTGTGAAATTTAAAACTCGTAGATCTCGAGCTCCTTGGAAGCTCGAGCTTCTTAGTTGCGGCTACGACCGTGGAGGGTGGTCGTGAGTGGGAATTTACAAATTGCATTGTTAAGGCTTGAAGAAGAAAAAGAAGAAAGAACTACGACCGGGCAACCGGCGGAAGGAAATAGGGAAAAAAGAAGAAAGAAATAGGAAAGAAAAGAAAAAAAAAGAAGGAAAAAGTAAAAATTCAGAAAATTGAAGAGATTTGCAAAAAATCGTTCGCCTCAGCATCGGTCGTGCCATGTAGGATGACTGACGCTAATTAGACCAGCTACATCAGCGATTTTCGATCGGAAGGATTATGTTGACAAATCCTGAATTGGCCAAATTTAAAAATTTATGACAGAATTGATCGCCGTTCAATAAATTTAAGACTTCTGAGGCACTGCTTGCAACCAAAGCCCTTCAACAATGTAGAATTAGTTATCTGGCCAAAAGCTTCATTTGGCGCGGTGCTCGAAAATGAGGAAAATGTTCAATTTTTTTTTTCGTGGGCCAACAAGATGCTTAACGCAATTGAAAACTAAGCAAGTTGAGAGTGGTCATTGTTAAGTGGGTGAACTAAAACCTGCTTCCCATCTTAGACCGCCAACCCTCGCCACTGTCAATTCAGTTCAGTTAGAGGGGAGTGCTTGACTAAATTCAGCTCTTCCCATGTCCCTCTCTCTCTCTCTCTATAGGACCCAACCCTCCTAAGTCAACTTAGACGACCCCAATGAAACCGGGATTAGGAAAAAAGAATGTCCCTTGATCAAGAGAAGATAGGATTAGTTAGATAAGAGTTGGTGTTTTAATGCATGTGCATTAAATTAATCCATATTTAGTACTTAGATCGAGAAAAAGACAAATAAAAGGAGGATATGCATTACAAGAAAAAACTGAATTTATCAATTTACTTGAGAGAGAGAGAGAGAGAGAGAGAGAGAGAGAGAGAGAGAGAGAGAGAGAGAGTAATTGATTAAGATAGGATTAGTTAGATTTATCCATGTATAAGAGTAGGTGTTCATTAGTGCATGTGCATTAAATCCATATTTAGTACTTAGATTGGGAGAGAGACAAATAAAAGGAGTATATACCACCCGCCTGGGTGGAGCTGCTGGAAAGGGCACTCTTCCTCTCGCAAAAGATTGAGTGTTCGAATCCCGGGCGCCGCAGGGTGACTTAACCGGTGCACGTGTGTGGTGGCTAGCACGTGTCGCCCCCAGGATTTACCTCCCGGCTGTCGGCCGTGCGGGGGTTTCCTAGGTTACCAAAAAAAAATAAAAGGAGTATATGCATTACGAGAAAGAAAGAGATAATGGAATCAATCGATGTAGTTTAGAGAGAGGGAGAGTAGTTGATTATGTGGAAATTACTATAATGTCCATCATGGTGAGTAGTGAAAAGCTTCAATTAATGGAATTTCTTAAACCAAATTTGTTGGCCAATCGACAGCTGAAATTTTTTTAAGTGTAGGTGCATATATCTTATATGCATTTTATATGAATTCTGTTAATGAGTGTCTCAAGACACATGTTGAATGCCCATTAAGGTTAATCTTCCACTTCAAATGCATTATCTTTATTTAAGGAAATTACACCAAAAATACCACACCCTACCCCCTCTAGCTCTCTCTCTCCTTCCACTCTGGCCTTAATAAGCCGGTGCCTTCGGACCCAACCATCATGCCGTTACCGTCACGACTCCTCCAGTTGGCGCCGGCGACGGTGCCTCTCGTGCCGCTGCTTGGGTCGATTGTTACTTCTCGTGCTCTCTCCCTCCTCTATCTGTCAGGCAAGGTGGTTGCGACCTTGCAACTATCGAGGTTGTGACCACCTCGACGCCACCCGACCTCGAGCGACATCGGTCCCTCTCCTCCTCTGTCCTCATCGAGGATATAGAGGACAGTTGGGTGGGGGTTGCAACCTCATAGACATCAAGTGAGAAATTTGTAGAGATGTGGCCAACATGGTAAATAAGCGAGATCTTGTCGTGGTAATATTGTCGTAGTGACGTGCCACCACATGTCATGAGGTCAAAAGCACAGTGACAAGTGGTTGCTCATTAGAAGGACACGGGTTAGCACCAATCCTACTTGATAAGGGTTTACGAGCAAACCTTGCTAGACCCTTCCCAACGAGCGCCACTCCAAGATCACCAAGCCAATCTCTCTAAATAATCCCAAAAAGATAAAAGAGTATTCACGATTGTCTCACTAATCCGGAGTTATTACTATTTAGCTTGTTGCGTCACAAAATATACTTGCAATAAATCCATAGGCCTAGCCCTTTTTAGTGCATTCAAGAAATCGTGACGTTTTTTTTTTGTTTTTTTGTGTCTGCGAAATCACGACATTGAATGTTATATGTACATACGTATTTTTCATCACACATTTCAAGTATCATTTAATGATAAAATTTATACATAAACATTTTGCTCCCTGAATCCTCAGAATTTCAAAGGTTGCTGTGCATGAAAAAAGGTTTGTAAAATTGTCATGAACGTCGCCCTTAACGATGTAGAAGTAAATCAAAACGCACACAACTTAGTCGGACAAAATGATGTTGCCAATAGTAGATGCAGACAAAAGAACAACAACAACAAAAATCGGAATCACAAACAATCACCGAACATCCTGGTCATTTCTAATTTCATGCATTGAGCATACAGTAAAATCAAGATCACGGTCGAAACAAGACTCTATCGACAGTTCAAAATAATGCTACGACATCGGCAACTTGAAGTAAAAACCTAACTTCATAGAAAATATAAAAAAAAAGGCACAACTTGTGGTTAATTGGAGCTACTCAAAGGCTTTTTCCAAATGCTGAACCAAATGCAGCACATCTCTTCTAATACGGATGTTGCAACCAGTTCCAATTTCCATTGCATCAATGATGAAATAGAATCCCTACCCAGTAGAATACTCTGCCAACCCCACGATGCTCTACCTCCGTCCTCTGCATGCATCGTGTGAGCCATCCATTTTCCTTGTTGGTAATGTGCTCAAATTTGAGGGATAGCCTTACCTAACTTTAGTATTTCATAATTCTTCGTGTTGTATAAACATTCACGCACACGTATACACATCATCGAAAATACTGAATTTTAAGGGATGGTTAATGCAATTTCGCATCATATTTGTCTTGGTATACCAATGCCATAGATTATCTTGTTGAACGATATCTGTTTTTGCAAGATAGTGGTACATAGAACTAGAATTCTGCATGACAAAACCACTATACATAAATCTCATGTAACGTGATTGTACTTGTTATGAATCAATTAGTATGTTGAAGACAATGCCTTTAGTGCGATAATTTGTGTGAGAATCTATATATCAAGTTGATTATTGGATTATTTTTCATAAAAATAGTCATATTCAATGAAGTGTGATCAAATGGACACTTTCCATAGTTTCATGTGTTGTTGTCTCTCAGTCATAGTGTTGACCAGCTACTTAATTATTCTTTCGTTTATTTGTGGTTGCAATTTGTGACCATATTATAAGTTATATTGTGAGTTATGCACAAGTAAGATGGACATAAAAAAAAACAAGAAACCCTATAATAAAGGCCAATTTAATGGCGAGCAGTGACTAAAATAGGGTTTTTTCTAATTTGATGGGTGAAAAATAATAGGCCAAGCCATGTCACACATCCTGCCATGTTTGTGCTATTCGGTCGGTCCAATTTTGTTGGGTTTTCGATTTGGCTAAGATTTTTTTAATTTGTTTGATACATTTTTATAAACCATTTGCATTTAAACTGAAAAGAACAATTCACAGAAATGCTGGGGCAAGGCTATATTTCAAATGGCAAAGTTTCATGTTTCCCTTAAATGTGGATTTCAGCAAAAAAAGAAGAAGAAAACAATCACTCGCATTTAAATTGAGAAATAACGATTTGCATGAAACGGTAGAAATGTTCGAAGATATCTCCAATTTCAACGAAATCAAAACATGAACTACCCTTTTTCTCCCACTTTTCTTCTCTTTTACCACATCGATCTGCATTTTATAATCGTCAAATAAATTGGACATTTTAACTTAGTACGTTTCCCGTCCTGCATAAAACAGAGGAATCATCTTCCTACATGAGCGTTCCTCACATGAAGCATTGTTTTTGTAACGCTAATGTGCAACCTAGAAGACAGAATCATCACTCAATTCAAATTAATAAATGACATGCCTGGAATTATGTTAGGAGTTTTGGTGAACGATTTGGCATGTCAAGCTTGCTTGATCGTCAAAGTGTCGGCGAAACAATTAGGAATTGATTGTTCGTCTCTCTGGAAACTGAAGACGAATCAATCTTTCTCATTCAACAACTTAAGTGTAAACAACAATAGTCGTTTGGATTACAGATTGGATTAGGGACCAGGAATCAAGAGTATGCTATAATATAGCAATTACCGACCGGTCCGTCCCCGATATCTAGTGTCTCTGTACATTCCCTGCGATCTCAAGACATGAAAGTCGAGATCTTATTTTATTCTATTCGTATTAATTCCCAACTTCCAAGTTTGTACAACTTCCCTCTCTTGTATATTGCTGTGAGTCCTTGAATGTGCACAGGTAATGATCCGGACTTCATCGGGAGACAGATCGTATTGCCTTCAGTTTTTCTGTTCACTTGAACTGAAAAGCCTCTTTCTGCCTGCCCAATAACGATAGGACGGTCGCGCATATATGCCTCGAGGACAACCCGGCTTCTTCAATCTGGTCTTGCAGCGATCCGTGTTCAATGTATCTATCAGGTAAGACCATAGCTCGCAACTGTAAACAAGCACATCAACAGAAACTTGTTAGTTGTAGACATTTAATTGGAATTTCAGGTTCGACGTGTATGTTCATAGATTCAAACGGACAAAATCTACAGCCAGGTACATAAACCTTAGCTTGTTACGGGATACGCCAGTCCATGTACGCTTCTCAGAGTTGTAGTATAATCAGTAGTGTTTAGTGTTAAGTTCATGGTCACCAGAGAAATTTCCAGAGACTTGCCTTGAGTGGTCCATCCAGAATGCCGGATAGACTTAGGAAGTGTGACACATGCGATCCGAAGCCTCCAACCGAACCTTCCTCGATAGTAATGAGTACCTCGTGATGATTGGCCAATTGGGTGATGAGATCGGTGTCCAGAGGCTTGCAGAATCTTGCATCGGCGACGGTAATATCGATGTCTATGGACTCAAGCATATTTGCAGCTGCAACACACTGTTGAACAAACGATCCATACCCAAGAATCGCGACTCTGCTACCTTCCTTCAATATCCTTCCCTTTCCTATCTGTAATATTCGTTAAGACATACTGGATTAGAGCGTCGAGAACTATTCAGACCGAGAAATTGTTACGTCGTATAATTAGACTGACCTCGAGTGGAATTCCTTTGTTGTCAGGAGGAAGAGTCACGCCGACACCATTACCCCTTGGGAACCTGAAGCAACTGGGCCTATCGTCAATGGAAGCAGCGGTAGCAACCATGTGCATAAGCTCAGCTTCATCCGATGGAGCCATAACCACCATGTTAGGCAGGCAAGCCATGTATGTTATGTCAAATGCCCCGCAATGTGTAGGCCCGTCTGCACCAACCAAACCTGCCCGATCCATTGCGAAGCGAACGGGTAGTCTTTGGAGATCGACATCGTGGACAACCTGCACAAAATGACCCTCAATTTGGTGATATCAATGACGGGGCGGAAAATTTACAACTGGAGCAGGACTTGCTTTAGGAATCTCTATGTTAGTTCACCTGATCGTATCCTCGCTGCAAAAATGACGAATAGATGGCGCAAAAAGGCTTGAGACCCTCTGTGGCTAATCCAGCAGCAAACGTGACGGCATGTTGCTCTGCGATCCCCACATCGAAGCACCGATCGGGGAACCTCTTCTGAAAATAATTGAGACCCGTCCCGCCACCCATAGCCGCATGGATCGCCACGATCTTGTTATCGACCTCGGCTTCTTTTATCAGAGACTCTGCGAAATACTGTGTATAGGACAGCGTCGGGGATTTGGACTTAAATTGCTTTCCGGTTCTCGGATCGAACTTGACAACCCCTGAAGTATGTCGAAATCAGATTAAGGGAGTCCTATAAGGATTCACGAAAGACATATACCGGAGTAGGATCTGAAAAATTGGTCTCACCGTGCATCTTGTCCGATGCAGCCTCTGCCGGAGGATACCCCTTCCCTTTTTCTGTCACGATGTGGATCAAAACTGGACCCGGAGCGGGCATGGATTTCACTTTCTGGAAGATTGTCACGAGATCTTCGACATTGTGTCCGTCCACCGGCCCAATGTAATACAGCCCAAGCTCCTCAAATAGCGTAGAACCGGAGGCGCTGATGAACCCCCTCGCGTATTCATCTACTTTAGCCGCGACTTGGTGTGTCGGTCCCCCGATCTGCTTTGTAATGCTCTTTGCAAACAAACAGGAGTGCAAACAGTTCAGATAAGGATTGATAAAAATGCGCATATCACTATATGGAATCGATGAGATGCTCACTTTGGCAGCTTCTCGGAGCTTGCGGAAATTTGTGCTCGCTTGGAGTTTGGTGAGGGTGCTGCTGAGGGCGCCAACCGGGGTCGCAGGGCCATCAAGAGTAGCAGTAGGCAAAGAAACTTGCTTGTTGTCATTCAACACGACAATTAGATTAGAATCTAGAAAACCCGCGTTGTTCATAGCCTCGTACGCTTGACCGGCCGTCATGGCTCCATCTCCTATCACGGAAATGACATTGTTGTTCTTTCCAAGGAGATCTCTCCCAACCGCCATACCTTTTCATCATTCACAAGAAAGAGTTGTCATCTTGTTTGTGGGCTGTTTTACTTGTACATAATTATGGTGGAAAATGGACTTTTGAATTTAGAACTCATACCGAGACCGGCGGAGATGCTCGTAGAACTGTGTCCCACGCCGAATGTATCATAAACACTCTCATCCCTTTTGGGAAAACCCGAAAGCCCCGAAGTCTTCCTAATTGTGTGCATCCGAGACCGCCTTCCGGTCAGAATCTTGTGGGGGTATGTCTGCAAAAATCATCACTTTAGTGTTCATAATCTGTTTCTTGCCATCAAGAGGATTGATATCGACATACTCAAAAGATTTTCGACGCCGTCTTTCTGTGCAATTTTACCCCTAACTTGACATTTCTCATCTTTAACTGATGAATTTGATTAGACTTATACCTGATGTCCCACGTCCCATAAGATTTTGTCTTCTGGGGCATTGAAAACATGGTGAAGAGCGACCGTGAGTTCCACCACACCGAGGCTTGAGCTCAGATGACCGCCCGTCTTTGAGACAGAGTGCACTATCTCTGCCCTTAGCTCTGCAGCCAATTGTTCAAGATCCTAACACGCACATTATTCATTCAAATTAAACTCATCGCTCCGAAACTCGCAAAGAAACAAGCGAAAGACAATCATTCTACATATACTATTCGAAGCAGGACAATGGTAAAGTTATTTCATCAAAGTATTAAACCAAGCCTTGGTCTGACAGATTAAACGATCGCTGAGATCGTAGAGTCAGAGGACTATAAATATTACCGGCGTGGACAAGTTCTTCATATGAACTGGATAATTCACGGTATCGAGCAAAGGCGTGGTGGGTTTGTCCTCTGAAAAGTTGATATGCCACTCGTCCTTCTCCGTCCGCAGCATCACCTTGCCCTTCCCTTCGTCGCCATCCGAGGTCGAACCAGAAGACGAAGCTCTCATGCACATCTGAAACGAGAAAGAGAAAACCACCACGCCACCATTCAAACGTCTGAAACTCTAGGGGTGAAAAACTTTTAGAGGCTTTCTTGCTTAGAGGATTTCGAAGGCCTACTGTGAAACCATCGCCGTGTGCTCTGCCGCCTCCGCCACCGAGCGATCCCGTGGAGGGCTTCTTCAGTTGTGGTTGGGGATGAAGAAAGAGAGAGTGGTTCAGGGTGAAGGAGGCTCCGGAGACAGCCATGGATGGATGAAGACGAAGTGATGCTAGCTCGAGGGAGTTGAAGATGCCTCGAGGCAAATCGCAGAGATGGAGACGAGAACGAGGTTTCGACCGTTTATATAGCGGACGGGACGCACAATGGGGGGGAGAGAGAGATGCTGTACGTGGTCTAATAATTTGCCTGGCACAACAATACCCCCCATCTTATTTTTGTCTCGATAATACTCCCAAACTTGTACCAACGATGAAAATACCTTCCGTTCACATGACACATAAAAGTCTAACGTGATAGCGGCGTGACAATCAAAAATCTGACGTGACCACCTCTTGTTCGACGTGGCAACGTGCGTCCATTGCCATGGCAAATTCGTTGTCCAGGCGGCCGTCCACGAATGCTGCCATGTGGGATTTTTGACGGCCATTGTGGACGGAAGCTTCGAGTTACTGATACAAGTTCGTGGCATTGATGAGATAGAAATTTTTTCCTTCGATACCACTTTGCATCCACTACTTTTAAAATTACATATTTTCATCCTCACTTTTGTGATTAGGCACCACATTCCATATCACAACAAGCAATTATTTACCATATTAATATGTCCTTGCCCGAAATATTCTTGTCACTTTCCTATGCCCGTCCTTCCACCTAAAATCCCTACGCTCCCTCCCAAAGCACCTGAAGCAACCAAATTGGAATTTGGTTCATTGGGTTTGTAAATATCTTATATGGGAATTGTCCAAAAAGTCCTAAACATATTGCACTTTTGCCAATTCGGTCATAAACCTTTCGAGTCGAAAGGTTTATGGACTGAAAATTTTCCCTATCTTATGACTTTTAATTTTGATTAATTCATTCACTCTTGACTTTATCTTGAGCGTATAAAATCCGAAACCTTTCACAACATACAATTACTAACACGTATTTTGCTATGTAATTTTCACATTTTTTTAATTTAAATAATCGTCAATTTTGACGATAAATTGTAAAAAAATTTGTTTTTGAGAATAATCAGAGAAAGGCCATAAAAATGCTATGGAATGAATGATTCGATCGTGAACTACAAACAGACTTTTTGATTGGTCATTTCACATGTCCAGTTTGAGAGTGTTCCGCATCCTATGTTTAGGTCACGGAACCAAAGATGATACTCTTCTCATTAATTAAACTCAAGAGGCATCACCAACCAAATCTATCGTTAAACCTAAGTAGATTGGACACCTATAGATCCTGATTAGCACGGCGAAGTCATTTTCACCTAGGGATATGTCGAAAGCTCCATAAAATACCTGTAGTCTTAGAGGTTGGTGATTTACTCTAAATTAGGAAAGATGTACTTTATTTTGAATGAATTTGAGGTTGGCTAACAGTATCACCTAAAGGGGGGTTGAATAGGTGATTTAAAAAATCTTGCGAAATTAAATGTGCCAAGTTTGAAATAAACGTGACCAGGTAAGATAGAACGTTGATATAAGCAAGTTTTGATTATATCAAACAGTGTAGTGTAGTGCTTCTATCAAATAGTAAGTAAATAGGAAGAAAGAGACGAGAACAAAGCACAAGAGTTTATAGTAATTCGGCTTGGTGTAAGCCCACATCTACTTTCCCAGACTAATAGCCTATTAGTTGGATTCCACTAGTTAATCGTTGAGAAGTTACAGCAATAGGTGCTCCTTATACTCAAGCACTTTTCCTCGAAGCTGTTGTTGCTTATATCCAAACAGATAGGTATCACTGTCTTACACCTAAGCACAAACTATAGCTCTGCCAACACTTCTCGAATGATTACAATATTAAGCTCTCATAAGACAATTCAAAAAGATGGAAACCTCTCTTGAAATTTTGAATTTTAACTTCTTGATCTCTCTCTCTTCGATGACTTGGTCTTCTTTTGTACTCTTCTCATCTTAGCTTCCATTGGACAATCTTCAAGAGGATCAATCTCTAATCTTGCCATTGGACAATTATTGAGAAGATTGGATAGCCGTTGAGGTTGATCAATCAAAATTTCCATTGATTTGATCGCCCATACAATCAAATCTTGGTTTCCAAAAATGGAGTGCTTCGGCTATGGAAACAAACTTGTTTTTGGAATCAATCAAGATATCTAGCGTGATTGAATATATTGTGTAGATAATCTTGGTCAATTTAGATATTCTATATTAGGAATTATACCAGTTTACAAGCTGTCAATGGATAAAAATTTTAAGATAATATTCTTGAAATTCGTGAGAAAAAATGTGCTGTTGATATTCACAGTATATCTATCTCTCCGGCATGCTACTAATATCCAATGTACACACTGTTGATATCCACTCAGTATTCTGCTTATGTCTACATAGTGCTCTGTCCATATCCACTTAGTACGCTGCTGATATTCATGCAATACCATGCACTATCCTATTGATATACATGAAGTACCCTTTCAAGCGACAGATACACCAGCTTCCTAGATAGATTCAACTGTTCTTCTAGAGACACTTTGATTACGATATTGATTTAAATTCTACAGACTTAACACTTTAGTATATCCAAGATTTTATGTGTGCTCCACATAGGTTCTTCAAGTCAATCGTAATCCTTTTCATATCAAAGTTCTTTTTCAACACGAATACAACCTGAAATACAAACAGCTCTTACATTGATCATGATCACAATTATGAATAGTTTTGTCAACTTCAAAATATAATAGGGATTTTCTCAACAAAATTAACACGTGGCCAATACCTTCTTTGTCAAAAGCCATGAGCTTGATGATGCGAGTATGTTTAATAAATCAGTCTGATTTCATGTGATGTGTGTAGTGTACTTAAGTGCATTTTCCAAATATCATCAGGATGCATTTGAACTTAATTATGTAGTACGTTCTGTCATGCGCGTTCCTTGTAAAAGAAAAATTCTCCCGTTAATTTTACACAGTAGAAAGTACATTTTGATAGAATAAAAAGGGCAAAAGTACACCACAAGTGCCATAACTTGTGTACGGCGATCACTTTGGTGCCATAACTTTTTTTCGAATTACTTTGGTGCCAAGTCAGAGGAAAAGAGATCACTTTAGTGCCAATTTGGCCGGAAATCCGACGTGGTATTTTTTATTAATTTTTGACGCCGACGTTGCTCGCCGGAGGCTGAGTCAGCGTGTACAGTCAGCATTTTTAATTTTAAATAATTTTTTTAGCGTGTACGGTCAGCATTTTTAATTTTAAATATTTTTTTTCCTTTTTTTTTCTTCTTTCCTTTTTCTTTTCTTTTTTTTTTCTTTTCTCCCCTCGCCAGCCGGTTGCCGGTAGCCGGCCGGCCACCGGCGAAGCCCGGGAAGGGCTGGACGAGGGCGGCCTTGCCCATGGCCGGCGAGGGGTGGCCGACCCTCGCCGGCGACAAGCGAGGCCGGCCCTCCTGGGCGGGCGAGGGTTGCCCTCGCCTCGAGTCGGGCGTGGGCGACCCTCGCTTGGGCGGGCGAGGGTCGCCCTCGCCCGAGTCGGGCGTGGGCGACCCTCGCCGGCCCTCGCCCGCCCAGGCGAGGGCTTCCCTCGCCCGACGCCGGCGAGGGTCGCCCTCGCCTCGAGTCGGGCGTGGGCGACCCTCGCCCGACGCCGGCGAGGGTCGCCCTCGCTTGAGTCGGACGGCGAGGGCGACCCTCGCCGGCGTCGGGCGAGGGCGCCCTCGCTCGGGCCGGCGAGGGCCGGCCTCGCCTCGTCGCCGGCGAGGGTCGGCCGCCCTCGCCGGCCATGGGCAAGGCTGCCTCGTCCAGCCCTTCCCGGGTTTCGCTGGTGGCCGGCCGGCCACCAGAACCGGCCAAGAGGAGAAAAGAGAAAAAGAAAAGAAAAGAAAAAGGAAAGAAGAAAAAAAAGGAAAAAATATTTAAAATTAAAAATGCTGACCGTACACTCTAAAAAAATTATTTAAAATTAAAAATGCTGACTGTACATGCTGACTCAGCCTCCAGCGAGCCACGTCGGCTTCAAAAATTAATAAAAAATGCCACGTCGGATTTCCGGCCAAATTGGCACTAAAGTGATCTCTTTTCCTCTGACTTGGCACCAAAGTGATCCGAAAAAAAGTTATGGCACCAAAGTGATCGCCGTACACAAGTTATGGCACTTGTGGTGTACTTTTGCTGAATAAAAAGTTAATTAGCATGGGTTTTTATCAAAGTCAATCGTATTGTAGGTGATATGTTTCCGGATAATTTGATTAAACGTAAGCATAAACTTAGAGACCAAATATTCGGATCCACTTAATCAAAACAACTTTTGATTTTTGCTAATGATGGTACCACATGCAAAGAATAAAAAAAACACATAAAAAAAGACTAATATTATTACATCAAATACTCTTTAGTTGCAAAATTCGATTTTGTCAATTTATTTAAATATATTTAAGATACGTTTGTTGTTCTTTCGGTTCATTTAGTCTGCTTTAATATGATTTGACAAATGACCTAATAAATGGATTATGGATTTTGAACATGTTAATATATGAACCCGCTTTTGTGATTACATGTAATTTCGCACAGCGAGAATGCAATTAATTTGCTTTTTCATTAATCTTTTTAAGCAACAACTTAAGTCGGACTGCATGAACCAACGACTCGATCAGATCGCATGGTGCATTCTTAATAATGATTCAAAGCTATGATTAATTACATAGATACAGTACAACAACATAATTTTAGAATATCTCTCTCTGAAATATTTTTTGCGGAAAAACAAAATAATTATTTCACTGATGGTCATTGCATCAAATGCACTTAATGAACTCAAGTTGTTTTACTAAAATTCTAGATTACTTGCCCGTTGAGTAAAAACTTTCTCGTACTAATTATGTCTATTGATATTAAATTTCACTTAACCATAATGACAAAAAAAAATTTCCAGACAACTTTTTTTTAAGAATTTTGAGGAATAGAGAACGTGGTAAAATGATCAAATCGAATCCAAATCACGCAGCATTAATTTTGTTGATAGAATTCATACATTTCCCAAAAAGACATGACCAGGAAGAAAATCAAACAGACTTCACTCCTCAATGTTATACTTTTACATTTTTTTTACAGTTGCTTCACCTTTTTTAATCATAAGACCTGAATAAAAGAATTACACATAATTTTTATTAA